ATTTGCCATCGAAATAAGTCGAGATTATTTAATAAGTAATATGTTATATAATCCTTACTATCTTTATTTAATGTAGGAGTTTGTTTATTACATCTTGGCTACTTAATGTCTAATATAATGGTCATAAAATAATACAATTATATTTTAGCGATAAGACCGCCTTTTGTACTTCTTAAATGTAATATATATTTATCTTTGCATTATTATTTACGTGGTGCAATAAAGAGTAAATACATAAATAAAATGAGCTAAAAAAATAGCTTAAAGCTTGATCCTTGTCGATTAATATCCTAGATCATTCAAGTCGTATAACATAGATTGTGTTTCTTTATAATTATTATTTATAAACTCTAGTTTAATAGAAGTATTGCGAAGAAGATGCTTATATAAAATAACTATGAAATATTAATATGCTACGGCAAAAGGTACCACTAAGTTGTCACGCCACTAAAACCGAGTAAATTTAAATTAGGCTAACTGTGACACTAGATGTAAATTTCATAGTAAAATCAGTAATTGGTCATACTTGCATAACGCTCTTCTTGGCGTTCGGCCGCGCTTCTCGACAGTGAGAGTGTTTCGGTGTTTTGTAGGTCATGATGATCGCGCCTTTACGTCGTGGAACACTTAGTATGAGAGAAAACTGCGCTTTTTAAGGCCACTTTACAACAATGCGAGGTGCACACTTGTATGTCAAGTGTAAGTGTCGATCGATAGTAGAATCGGATTGGATTCGTATATACATATGAAACGTTACTCACTCACTGTAGTATGGTCGTGTGTTTGATTCCTATACGAAATGTTTGTATAATTTTTTTTAATGGATGATAATGGAATGGCAATCCCGCCCGCGCTAACGGTATTCACTGACGGGGCACCAGTGAGGGATGATAGGTGAGAATGAAAAGGTTACACATATAGGACAATTATCTCACCATGATGAATACACCTGGGTTTCAGCACGATAGTTTCCAGGGGCAACTATGTGGAGGTCGATCTGATAGGGTGTATATTGTGCTAGCAATGGGACTGGTTTCCCATTATTAGTAATCCCTTCCTCCCAATGTTTATATATTATAAAAATGTATTTCGTATGCCTATAGTCTATCTAGTATGTAGTAGTAATAAAATACAAGCTCTTATTTACTTAATTTATCATTAAATGACGCTGTAAAGTTGTTTTCTTTTATACTACAATGGCAGCTAACAAGCACACGACCCGTCAGATAACAAACTGTTGCTGTAGCAAATGGACGTTTGCAATAGTGTGAAGTATTGTTTATTTCTATCTGTAGTTTAAATTTAAATATACTCGAAGAATACATTGGTCTTATAGCGACTTTGATAGCCACAAATATGTAGATTTCTTCAGTGTACCTTACAAAGGCAACGAAAAAATATGTATACACAATTTGGTTAAATGTTAAATGTTGAAATTTTAGAAAATGAAATTTAGATAAGCCTGAATCTAAAATCAGTGTTATATTTTTGATTCGAGATTAAAGTGACGCCAGTGTAAAATTTGACGGGAAAACAAAAGGAAAACGTGTATAAACAAAAATAAATTATAATTGAATAGAAAATGTTCGAATTACGTAAAAAGGTTATAAAGAAAATGAAATAAAAAATTAAGATTTGTTTTCTTTTTTGACGCTCTGTTTGTGAACGCAAATTGGAGTATTTCTATAAATAATTTACGTCCGGATGTTATTTATAAATGGAACAGATATATTTTTTTATTAATTTAAATACATTATTAGGATATCAATTTGTCTTGACAAAACGAGAGGCTATTTCAAAATTTAGAGAAATTAACTTTTCATTTTATAAAAATGAAAGGAGAAACAAATTATAAAATTATGTTCAGTGAATAAAGACTGAAGGAAGGAGGATACTCCAAAATAATATTTTTAATTTGTGGCCAATTTTTATATCAAATTACGCGGGCAAAGCCAAGCGTTAGAGTTAGCTATAAATGCTTAATTTTAATACACAATACTGTTGGTAAAAAGGGATCGCCAAATATAGCAAATATAAATTCACACTCCATTCTCACTATTGCAAAGTAGCACTCATTAAATCATATCACTTGTAATATTTTCAGCTGAAAATCGATCGATCGTGAAATATGTAAATGGGCTTTCCGTTGAATTAGCAGCTGTGGCCTAACGGTGTTACATTTTGCACGGACCGTATCGAGTTACAACACCAAGAAAAAATCCATCGACCACCAATTGTTGCACATAGATACATAACAATTTGGAACGTTTTGAACATAATTATAAATGAAATTATAATCATAATTTTTTAAAAAGTATATAGGGCGATAATCTAATGCTTGAAAGTGATTTTAAAATTATATTCATTCCATGGAGTGGAGTGTATATTATCCATAATGAAGGATGAAAGTGACTGTGTTCCAATTTTAAAAAAAATATTTTACAATTATGAATGATTCTGTAATAAATCCATAGTATGTCTACAGTAATCTAAAATATAGTAATGGCTGTATTTATTACGATGCTCCTAAGAGGTTATGTTTATATATTTTGGCGGGAAAATTATTATCGTATTTTATTTTATCAATATTATTTTTCTTGATATTATTTTGTTACTTTTAAATACAAAGTAATAAGTATATGTAATTTGGCACCCTAAATTTGGTTATATTAGCCCTTATTTGGTCATTATTGTAAGTTTAAATTTTTACATAACTATAAATATATCGTGTTGCTTTATATTGTATATTTTTTTTATTAAAGATTAATAATAATAATAATAATATTTATTTGCTTTAAACATGGTATACAGTGATGTTATAATTATATTTGAGAGTGCACATGTCTTGCTAAAATCATATAGAAAAATATAATACAAATGTCAAAAACGTTTTTATTTATAAACTTTCTTATGATAAATATAAACAAATAACTTTTATTTAACACTTACATTCTAATCCTAATGTATGGGTATTATAAAAATAGTATTTTTTATTGTATAACTTTCTTATTAAAAAGTATTTTATTTCGATCGTTATATAATTTTATATCTCTTGAATTTAGTAGGTAATTATTTATTACTTATATAAATATATTTCTTTAATATAAATTTTATATTTAGTTATGAGATTTCAAAATAATTATACTTCAACTAATCTATTTCATTATTTTAATAATAACATTCACTCACCTATGATATTTTCAAAATTAATAACTGCTTTCTCCGCAATATTAATATGCATAATCGACCAGTTGTATATACTAAAAACTAATTTACTGTCATATCTAAACAACCTAATATATGTAGTTAATTCACAGTTTGACATGACCTGTTTGATTTCACTATATAATCATCAATCATTTATAACATTAAATAAAATATACATCATAAATTGCGAACCGCGAAAATCATTTATCAACGTGTAACGGACCATCTAAACAGCGCTTTCTTGTCGCAAGAGAGAGTAGAAACTCTATATTATTATGAATACTTACCGCGACAAATGTTAAACAAAACACAATCACTGTAAAGCACAGAGTTCGCAAGTTCACAGTCACAAGCCGCTTAGTTCAAAGTTTCTAAGTTCGTTCCGTACTTGGCCAGTGTCGTTGTTGCACTGAGCGATTGAACGGAAGAGCTGTGCGTGCTTGCGCGCGCGCTCGCCTAAAAGTAAAACCGAAACCGCGAACGGACTGCTTACCGCGTAAATCGGAAAGATTTGCGGTCACAATGCGTCGTATGCGCAGTCGATATTAAGGTTAAGGATAGAAAAGTGGTAAAGGCATAGAGAGAGATATGTGAATAATTTTTCTTAATCAATTCGATGCGGCATGATTGCATGATAACAGATTAATTTGTAATCAGTACCGAGTACCGCAATTAGAGCGCGTACCGATACAGATGGTTACACGATATAATTGTAAATATTTAGGTAACAGATGTGCTGGAGTGTTGTGTAAAATAGGTGTTTCGTGATAATGTTGTTATTACATTGAATTTGTAAAAAAATAATTTAATACCTGTATTAATAAACAATCACAGTGATTCCATCGTCACAAGACATTTTCCGTAGCGTATGTAATTATAATAAAATTATTTCAATAAAATATCTATGATAATTAGAACTGAAAGAAATTTTGTAAACATTTTTTCTAATTATTTAATTTTTAATAGGAAGAAGAATTAACTTTGGGGAGAATTTAATTATTAATAGTAATGGCATAAATACATAGTATTAAATAATTATTTTAATTTATTTATATTTAAATGATAATAAATTTCATTGTTAAAATTTAATATACTTATTCGTTTAATGCAGCTGAACATTGAATCGGATAATCCCTTCCACAAAATAATTATAAAATGTAAGCACCTATTATTATATATTTACATTGTGGAAAAACTAATTTTAAATATATTATTTTGAATATCAACATAGTAAATTTTCTATATACTACAGTACGAACACTAATTACAATTGATATTAAAATAAAGTAATAAACCAAAATGTCATGCTATAGATAACTGTAGTGACATCTGAAATAAATGTTGATTAACTTTAAAATAATTTTGGAATAATATTAAAAAATATTGATTTAAGTAATGTAATTAAATTAATTTTATAGTAATATAGTATAAAAAATAAACTAAAGAAAGTAAGGTATAAATATTGCCAATAATTTTACATGTTAAAATTGTTGTTAAGTTATATTTGAGGTTGACATAATTAGTGGGTTCTCAGAAATCACAATAAAAATAATTAAGACATATAGATTACGATGTTAGTAGTTTTTAAGTATAAATATGACAAATATAGCTACAATAATAGCAGTAAATTAACTAATTAATAAGTATTAATTAATAATTATTAAGTAACTTCTTCTCCACAAATTAAATATTAGTCACTAAAATAATATAATAATGAAAAACTCAAAATAAATTCATATATTACAATTTTATAGATGAAAATACAAATTCAATTTCTGAAACAAAATAATTACCATTGTAATGATTTATATTCAAAAGCTAAATTTTTCATTACATTTTGCTTCATAAAATAAATAATAGAAAACAATTTAAAAAAATAATCACTATTTTCGAAGTAAAACGTATTTTTGCAAACGTGAAATAAATAATTACTATAAAAAGAACTGAACAAGTTCAATCAGATCATATCACCATAATTTGCGTCACAGTTTTATAATATAAACTCATTTTTCGGTGTCACAATTATCTCGAACTATAGCAATTTCGCATTAACACGGCGTCGCGCTCCGACTACGAGCTGCCCTCTATTAGTTCGTGTTCTATGGGAAACTCGTGCCACCGACTCAGTCACAATACGAGCTCTTTAGGTTATTTTAGTTATTTATAAATGAATGCCGATGCTGTCATCTAATGGTATCTAACCGTACGTGTAGATGTATAGATTTATAAGCGGATCTGGTGTTTTATTTACATATTATTGTTTTAATTGTATGTAGTATTGAGGTGTAATCTTAATCAATAAACTCTTTTGGTTTTCTTTTAATGGAAGATAATAGAATGGTAACTCTGCCTGCACTAATAATGTATGCTGGGTACCAGTGAGGGATGATAGATGAGGATGAAGCAGATCAATTGGCCCATCGTGGTGAATTCATCAAAACTTCTAGGGGGAACCGCGTGTAAGTTGACCTGTTAAGGTATATTGTTAGCAATGGCCTTGTCAGATCTCATTACTAATAATACCATTTCACCCAGCTCCTTTGTTATAGTTTGGTATAGTTATAACGTTTTTTCTTTTTATAATAGCATGACATCGTCATATCAGGCAATATCTATCCACTGCTGAACATAGGCTTCTTCCACAGACATGCCATAAGGAGCCATCCTGAGCCACCATCATCCACTGACTTCCTGCAATGCATTAAAACTCTGTCTAGTACTGGTTGCGTATTCCTACTTTGCGTTTACTTGTACGGGGTCGCCATATAGTACCTTTTTTTCTTATTGGTCCATCATCCATCATATCATGACAAGTTACCATATTATTCTGAACAGGCATAGTGACAATACAATTGCCGTGTGGTCCCAGCATAGAATGGTACACCCCTTCCTAACCCGCGGGTGTCGTAAGAGGCGACTAAGGAAATTTATTGGGCTAAGGATAGGCCGCAGCGTCCCTTTTAAAACATCACCAAAGCCTAACTTACCAACCTGTTTGCCAAGCGTGGCACAAAATCTTCCTTTACGGGGAAGGATATGTTCTACAGTGGACAGTTAAGGGCCGATATGACGATGATGACAGAGACAATATGGTCGATGAATGTTAATAATTGAAGTCTCGTACTAAGTAGAGCTTTTGCTATGAGTACTAGACTGTTAATAAATTTATATCGTATCAGCCGTTATCTGATCACTGCTAAATATAGGTTTCTTCCATAGTTTGCTATAAGGAACGAGATCATGCCTTATGACAGTTTGCCATTGGGAGGATTTCGTCAGTAGTTACCACACTTGGCAAGTGGATGGACAACTGCAGTATGGCTTTTGGTGATGTCTTAAGAGGGACACTGCGGCTCATCCGCCAAATAAATAAGTTTAGATATTATAGTATTTTTCAATATGATAATTTAATATGAGTATATTAGATTATTTGATGTCTTTTGTGATATGCCTTTTAATCTCTTGCAAGATAAGGGTATCATTATATATGCATGTAGTTCTATATTAAAAAATAAGCCATAAGAAAATAGTATTTGTATTTTATTTTTATTGTTTAAAAACTTTTGAAACTCTAGAAACTTACTAATTACAATTCTAAAACTTTCTCGACTAATGAAGGTATAGTTACTTTTCTAATTTTACTTTAATGAACGTTGAGCTATTTAGTTTCAGAGTCTTAACGATCTTCAATATAAAATAGTCATTAGCAAAAGTCTTAAATTGTTAACCTCAGCGGCAGAGAGTTGCTTAATTCTACATAGTTTTTTAACTTAACAATAATGTTGTTAAAATATGATAATAATTTTAATAATTAATTATGCAATAAATTTGTAAGCGGGCAGGTTTTAACAGGCGGCGACTTTTATATTATGCTGTTTGTATATTTACGCTTATATCGATTATATGTATATGAATATAGATACATAAATTCATACGTATAATGATACATATACATATTGTTTCTTATGTCAAGATAAGTATTTATAATATTATGTATTATATGGCAATAAACATTGTAAATGCAGCATAATTTCCGTTGATAGAAATTGTATGTTAGGTTTAAAATGGCTATTAATCTTTCGACTTTGTGTAATGTCCTTCATCATCGATTTTCCAGAAACTACTATAAAACAAATAAAAAGTATAAGCGTTTTATGGACAGTAAAGTGAAGAAAATTCAAAGACCCCTTTGTCGCTTTTCACTAGCGCCTCCGACGTCAATGAACGATTTCCTATAGTAAAAAAGTAATAAAGGAAACGCGAGCGAAATTGGCCTCAAGAGTGAATCTCAATAAAAGGTTTAACTTAGTTTTCAGCGGCCTCCGCGTATATTAAAGGGGAAATTTAGAAGGGGTTAAGGGATTTTGATTTGGGGAGACAAGGAAAAGGTGGCACCTCCGTATAAATTGAGATCTAAAGTGATGGCAAACTGTCGCAAATTTGACAAATGTCTGTCAAAGTTCGCGTTCCGGGAAACGTGTGAGTTATAATAACTTTTTTACGACTTTACTTTTTTCCATATAAGTACAACGCTTGCGAGTCCTAAAATAAATTTACTTAACTTTTTTGATGATAACAATTTTTATCCGACTGATGAAGCTAGGAAAGTTATTCGGTTGTATGCATTTTATAATAATACATGTTTTTTGCAGTTTAAATGGATTGATGGTTTTTGTTTCTTTGGGGATTCGTCAAATAAATTTGTTGTTGGTTTTATTAATATTTAATAATATATTTATTTAGATAAATTATATATGTATTATAGTTATATGTATCAATATATAGTTAAATATTATAAACATTAAGATACGAGTATAAACATACACATACTTATATGATCCTCAAAGGTTTAATAATAGACTTGCTATTAAATAATTTATATTATACATACATATATATATATATATATATATATATATATTGTGTATATTCACTATTATTGTTTAGATTTCTATAGAATACTTACTACGGCGTAATATTGTTTTCCCGCTTTAGATTTGTTGTGAAAATTTGTTCTGGGAATTATTGAACTAATGAAACTTGTGTGAGTGATCTAATAAACCTGTAACCCGTGTAGTTTGTGGAACTAATCACTTATAAAAAGCTATTTATTAAAGATGTTGGAACCAGCCACGTATATTCTACAATGAGAATTTGTAAGTTCGCAGACAAAAATATTTCACTGTTATTTCACTCAACGTACATTATATTTATTACATGTGTTACATGATTTGTTATATGCTGTGATATGCGTTTGAATTATTATTTTTTGCTTATATATAAGTTTCCATAGCAATTTATTGTTTTATTTTTATAGTATACTTTACTATTATTATTTTACCCATAAATCTTTACTGCTACATATAGACGTCCTCCAGAGATATAAATATAAAGACCATTCTCATTTATTGACTCCTTATAACTTATTTAATATCGTTGTTTCAACTAATATGGGGCCGTTCTACATGTTGCAAACACAACTTTTACGACATATATTTTAACGGAAATCAACCTTTCGTCTCTTTATTGCTAATATACGTTACTTGATAGATTTTTTAATAATAATATAATTATTTTAGCTGATCGCTTGAGTGATGGTTCTGTCTATTTTTTATCATGAAGTTATAACACGATCATTACTGTATTTCAGTTTAAAGAGTACGTAACTGCAATATCACAAGGTATAATTAACTATTCTGGGTTTTAAATGCTGTACGTGGAACCTTTAATCAAGAATTTCAATTACAAAAAGCCTTACTAACCAAAACAAAACTCAAATATAGAACCATTGATTAATACCCCACTAGGTTTTGGGGATTGAAGCATATTACTCTTTGTTCTGTGATACTCATTATGTTTGTGTGTACCTATATATTCTATTCAAGACGTAGGCCATCAGCTTTGTCCAAAGAGAAAAATAAACATGCTGGAATAATCATGTTTAAAAGGACCGAGTGTTGACACCGCTTTATTTTTATTTCCTTTGTTTGGCCAGAGGCTTTTTTTCTTTGTAATTTGGATTTAAAATTCCACCTTATTCGTGTTCAGTTCGTTCAATTTTAGGGTTGTCACATTGTCAGCTGTCCCATTTATCGATAAATTTTATATTTTATTCAGTCTACAATACCAGTAAAAAAGTGTTTCATAAAAACCTTGCAATATTGGAACACCAGTATGGTTCAGTTAAAAATATCTATTTGTGGAATCATAACTGCTGATTTTTTCATCCTTTCGGCTGAATTAGTTAGTATCAATACTATATATTTAAAAATAGCAAATTTAAATCAAGTACGTTTCATAACAATAATATTAATCTCGTTATTTCCGTAGCAAAATTGGGTTAGAATTCATTTCATTCTATTACTATTAATTCTATTTAAGAGAATTAAAATTTATCTTTCTTATATTCTTTACTAATTTCTTTGTAACTTTATTTACATACATAATTTTTATTTCAATACTTATCTGCCTTCACAAATTATTTTATTAGTTAATAAACGTGTTACTTTTGTAATCGCAATAAAAAGGATATCCTCATTCAAGTATTACGCTTTCTCAAATTATTTTTACTTTTACTAAGACGCTTGTTACTCGACTACGATTCATTGGTTGATTGAATTTAAACTTAATATACAGACATTATATTATTTTTCAATATTAATAATTGTATTGTATTGTATTCTAAAATCGTTATTGTACATAATTCATACTGAAAACATTAAAAGATTTAATACTTTAATTTTGATTTTGTCGAGATAACAATTGTATATCAATTGCATTATTCGAAAATCCTGAGTTGCTAACCCTAATTACATTACACAGGTATTATACAGTACGAACAACATTCATGCTTACTTTCGCTCGAATAATAAAAATTGTGTGGATTTGGCGAATGTCCAAAATACGGTATTGTTCTTTTTCTCTTCTGCATTTAGTATCCTACTTTGTCTTAATTTGCATAATTATTTAAAACTTGTATTATATTATGCAAACCATAAAACCGCGTCTTGAAATAAGTGTATTGTATAAAAAAAGAATCCTTGATGTCCATATATCACGAATTAGGAGACAGATGTTAGTTATTTTTAATGTAATAAACACCGTTTTAACTTACGTGTA